CCGCCGCTCCGGCCGCTGCACCGGCCGTCGCGCGCGTCTAAGCGGCGGGATCTGGACGGCCTCTGTGTCCGGTGGATTCTTCTCAGGTTGGTTAGGCCTTTTTTGTTGTATTATGTTCAATTGAATTTGTTGCAATATTCTTTAGCTTTTCCGATCCAAAGCGAATTGCTTAGGGTTTAGTTATGTGACCTTTTTGTTTAAGCCTACAGAGTATTGTGATATCAAATCTCGATTAATGCAGTTTAGTAAATGATTTTGGTTCAGAAATTGTTTGTCATTTTCGCTTGATTTGTACGTGCATTTCTTCTTCCACGGTGGTAATGCTACGTTCTAATTTTTTGGGATTGGACTGGAGATTGACAGAATAAGGCAGTTATTTTTTCAATTCGATGACTGATTGCTGTGAAATGTGCTCTGTTTTGTTGTGATCTGTACTTTAGTTACACATGGAGTTCTTGTTCTAATTGAAAAGGTTCATCATATTCAAGTTTCTGGAAACCTTCAATGATGTTCAATGTGATTTGCCGAATTTTTGCCAGAAAGATGAAATTGTCGGTTGAGGGAAGAATTTCTGATTTTTTTTTTTGGATTCAAATTTTTTAAATGATTTGACTTTTGAGAGGCTTCTGTGTTAATTTACATTTTATTTTTCACTTAAAAATAATATTTTCATTATAAGTAGAAATTACAGGGTTGAACTTAGGACATGCGTATATTATCCCAACCACTAAGTCCATCTAGTAGTTTTTTTCATTGTGTTATCTTGATATTTGAAGATAATCATTAATTTTAAATTATAACCTTGTAAAAAATAACAACAAATGAAATACTCAAATAATAAATGAGAGGTAAATGAGTATATTAAAAAGGTTATAAATGTGTAGATTAATTATTATTTAAATCTGAGTGTAAAAACTTTAAATGACAAGATACGAAAGAAATGCATTTTGTGAGGGCTTTCTTTCAGTGTATTAAGGGTTTGGGTTAGCTCGGGCTAATTTTCTTTAGATGTTTTTACTTTAGTGTTATGTTTTAGTTGAAAAGTGAAATTAGTGAAGAGACCCGTGTCTTTATATATAACTTTTGTAAGAAGGAAATATATTGAGTTGCAAGTGGATGCTGGTGAAGAGCTGCAAATGTTATTGAGAGCTTATGGTCAGATAAAATAAGCCATGGTTAACAAGTTTTCATCTTTAATTTGAAATAGATTTGAGTTTACCAGATCCTATATAAATTAAGGATTTATGTTTTTTTAATTTTTACCTTATACACCCCATTTTAGAAGTTTAATCTAAACATTTTCCGCATCGTGTCCTAGAGAACAATAGATTTTGTTTTATCGAGTGAAATTCGTGTAAAGCCTATTAAATGATGAGGTATACTCTTATTTAATGAGTCTTATTATTTATTAGAATGCAAATTAATTTTATCCAATAGTGGATTGTGTTAGAAAGCCGGGATAACAGAAAACATTGGAAATGAGCTAAAGATAGTAGCAGGGATTAGGGAAGGTGGAATATGCAAGTTGTGGCTAATGGTTAAATTTAGAAACTGATAATAATTTTTTATATTTGCCATTAAACAATATTTGCTAGCTATTATTTACTTTCACCCTTTTTTTCCGGTATGAAGAAATGACCGTGGTTGATGACAGTGTATTTCAATTTACCACGAATGAAATGACCAAGGTACTAATAGTGTCTATAACTATAGTACTCAATATAAGTATTTTTCCATTAATTAATCATTGAAAAATAATATTTGGACAACAAATTGCCAGCTAAGAGAGAGAAAGAGAGAAATTTGAAATATAATAAAACTGTAATTTAGAAAGAAAATTACAAAATTGATATTATACAAGTTGTATGAATTGTTGAATATTCATATCACAATTCTCTGGGTGTGTGTTATGGGGAAATTCTGTGTCCATTCTTTATTTTTTTTATATTATTTACACACTCCTAATTTTTAAGTGAGCATTAATTTTCTTTTTTTATTTATTTAAGTGACACTGACTCTTTTGTACATTGTTAAGAAAAAATGAAGTATTGATACAACAATTAAAATTCTTATTTAATTTTAACTAAAATTATAACTTAAGTTCTTTGCTTTTTATTATTATTATTTTTTCACATCACACAATACATTGTATATAACACCGGTAGCTAGTAGAAGAAGGAGATTAGTAATTTATAAAAAAATTAAGGGAGAGATGCGTGTTAGTTAGAAGGACATTAAAAAAGGTGACTGCAATTTCATGAAAAAATTTGATTCGGCGTTTAACGTCAAAGTTATATAAGAGGCCATTCTTGTTAACACATTGAAATGCGAGAACGAAATAAAACAAGCACTTAACCCTAAACTTGTTAATCATTTGGTTCTAATTATGTAATACATTGAAGGTTCATTATATATACACCTCCTTTTCCCTATAAGTACACCTCCTTTTTTAAAAAATAAAATAAAATTTTAAACGCTTCTTAATTTTTTAATTTTTAATTTTTAATTTTTTAATTTGATATCCACAATATTTAATTTAGTATTTTTTTTTTCACACATCTTTTTTTTTTTTTTTTTTTTTTCAATTTTTACATGCACTCCCTTATCTTTCTTTCACCCTACCTATTTTAGTAGCATGTGAAAATTAAAAAAAAAAAAAAAAAAGTGTGTGAAAAAGAAGAAGAAAGTAGCAAGTTGAAAATTAAAGGTATAAAAATAGAAGATTTAAAAAAAAACTACAATATTTTATAATTTTTTAAAAAAAATATAAAGGAGGTGTACTTAAAAAAAAAGGAGGTATATATATCATGAGTCTACATTGAATCTTAAATTTGCGGTCTTCGGATATTAAGCTCATTATCTAACATCTCTTGGATCTTAACCTGTGAGTAGGGGTGGGCAAAACAAACTAAACTGAACTGAACTTATAAAAACTATACTGAACTTAAAAGTAGTTCATATGAACCGAACTGAACTATTCTTTTGTGTCATTGAATTGAACTGAACTATACTATAAAAACTTGAACTGAACTGCAATTTAAACTGCACTAAACTGTTATGATATTTTGAACTGAACAATTTTGACTCATTGATCTATCAAAATAGGACACATTTGTCAACTTTACTTTATTTTCCATTTTATTTAAATTTTCAAAGGAAAAAAATATAGAATTAAGTCAAACAAACTCAGTGAATTTTAAGCCTGAAAATAAGTAGTTCAACATAGCTCAATTGATCTGTTAAGTTCAACAAAATTGATACAATTTTTTTTCAAATCACTTTTTTTCTAAAATTTGGTTATTAGACTATCGAGCTAATCTATTAAGACATAACATGTTAAACACATATAATTTTTATTCTTTTATAAAAATAGTTCAACTTTTATAATTCAGTTCAGTTTTTATAGTTCAGTACAGTTCAACTTTATAACAGTTCAGTTCAGTTCAGTTTTTTTTAAACAGTTCAGTTCAGTTTTTTTTACAAACAGTTCAGTTTTTTATAGTACAGTTCACCACCAGTTCAGTTTAGTTTTTTTTGCCCACCCCTACCTGTGAGCGAGTATACTATACGACTAGCCGTTAAATAATAAATACCCTTAATCGGGCTTCAATATCCCATCTGATCTGAATGTCCATTCTAATGTTAGGTATATTCAGTTGAAACAGAAAACAATAATAATAATAATGTAATACGTAGACAAAATATTAAATAATGAAAAATAATAACGTAAAAATGAATTGGAAAAGAAATCAAATAAAATTATTAATTTTTTCTATTTATTAGTGAATTTTTGGATAATAAAATAAATAAAAAAATAATCTTATGAATTTTATTTTAATAATCGGTATCTATATTTATTATAAAATACTTTATAATAAACTTTGATAATCATCCTTTTAATTTTTATTTTTATATTTTCTAAACTTAACAATTGTCTTTTAAAAAAAATCAATAATAATATATAAAAACACGAAATACTTCTTTCTCTAATAATGATAAAAAAAAATATTATCATGGAAGTTGACTATGATCCAAGGACATTGTCAGAAGCACCAATAAACTGTACTCTTATCATATTTTAACCACGTCAACCGAATCAAAAATGGTTCAGTTTTTCTATCGATAAAAATCCATAATTGATACATGTTGAAAAAAATTAACACTGTGACTTTGTGGTGTCTTTCTCTGAATACAAATATGGTATCTAGTGTATAATTATTAAAAGTTACAAAGATAAAAAAAATATATATATTATCCTTTATCAAAATTTGTTAATATACACGATCAAACTCATTTTTTAACTAAGCATCAAGTTCAATTTCTAATTTGATTTCGTAATAAAAAAATTGTATTTCTTTCTCTCTTTTTTTTTTTTTTTTCTGTTCACTTAAAAAAAACATAATATAAAGATCAAGAAATGTAATTTTTCTTGTCATAGGTCGACATGATTATTAATTTTAACTTTCGAAAATATTTTTTTACTATTATTTTTCTCTCATTTATTATTGTAATTGTGTAATCTATTTAAAAATGATTAAAAGTAGCAATTATTTTTGAAAACGAAATCATACAATTTGAAGCCTGCACTGCACTGCAACTGGTACTTTCAGTGTTATCATGGGAATATTGTGATTATTTGATGAGACCTAATTTACTAATTTGGCAACCTTGTGCACAGTAGTGTTAATAGCTTATTTAGATAAAATAGAAAATACAACAACTTTTACAACAGTAAAACAAGGGACCACAAAGGCAGTGCAGGCAAAGAATCTCAAAGAAGTTTTCGTGAAGCTTTTGTTAAATTATAATATTTTTGCCTAAAAATAAAATCCTTTTATTAATTATATTAATATTGACAAGATCGTTAAAAAAAATGTATGAATAAAATGATAGATAAAGAATGTTAATTATATTGATATTGATAAAATTTCAAAGAATCGTTATTATTTTTTTCTCTGTCATTCATTGGTTAACATGTGACTCTTTTATTTTTTGTATGAATTTAAAACGAATATATAATTATACTGCTTTAATCTATATCCGTGACAAAATGTTAATTTTTTATTGGTTTAAAATTCCTTTATATGGATAAAAAGTAAAAACAAATAAATAAATAGAATGCAGTTAATGCAGGGCCCTTACTACTACTAGAGTGGTTGTACGTAAATATTCCATAGCCTTCATGCTATTCATATTAATCTATTAGATTAGATGTTTTTGGCATCTCCATTTCTTGACCAATTTATATGGGCATTTCATTGTTTTAAATATCAAGAGGAGTGTCAAATTTTCATCACTTGCAGTAGTTTTGGAGACCTCCATGAGTATTGTAGCCAAGAAGTACTTCTTCAAAGTCTACGTTCCAGAGAAACACTATGAAAGAATGGTACTATTTTCTTCATTATACTTTCTGCAATCTAGACTTACTGGAAGATACAACATTGATGTCCTCAGATTACTATTGTAACACATTGTATGGATCATTAATGAGATACAACAATTTTAGTTGGCTACGTCTACATTACTTTGTGTGTACCATACCAATGCAGTTGCTGATTTCAAAACTTTGGTAATATCTTAAGCAACATTGATCTTTTTCTTCTGCTTCTGTTTTTCCTCAAATTGCAGCTTATCCCCAATGTTTTTGTGAAGTGGACACGTTTAAAAGAAAGGATCCCTGAAGATGTGATCCTCAGAAATGGTAGTGGGAGGGTTTGGTGTGTGAAAACACGCCGTATTGGAGACAAGTTGTTCCTTGATGAGGGTTGGAAGGCTTTTCGAGAGGAAAACTGTGTAGGAAAAGCAGACTTTATGGTTTTCAAGTACAATGGGAACAAGGAGTTCAAGGTTATAGTCCTTGAACTATCTACACAGTGTGAAAAAACTGTCATAAAGTCCGAGGTAGAGGAGGAGGAGAATATGGATGAAGGCAAAGTAGCTGCAGAAGAAGATGAGGAAGAACATGAAGGCAAGACAGATGATGAAGACGGCGAGGAGGAGGAGGATGACGACAATAATAGTGACAATGATTATAATGATAACGATGAGTTTACAGAGATGGAAGAAGAGAGTGAAGAAGAACATAATTTTCAATACATGAAGGCATCAAGGAGTCAAAGTAATAGTAGAGCCTGCAAAAGTAAGTTTAGCTTTATGTTGAAAAAATGAAAACTGGTTTCTGTTTTTTTATCCAATTTATGTACTATGAGTGCACCAATCAGTCTTTACCTGATGATTTATCTTGTCTAGGGGAGACTGCAACAAGTTCCACACCCAAGATTGAGGATCCTCAAATTGAAGACTATGAATTTGATCCAGAAATGTATATTCAGTCTGGCAATCCATATTTTGAAGCAAAAGTCTATAAAAGTAGACGCAACGAAATGGTGAGAAATCTTATATAAATGTTGCTTTTTTGACTTTGAAGCACTTTTATTAGATGAATTTACAAGTCCATTTGTTCAATTCTTATAATTCTCCTCTGGACTGTAAGTACTTTCTGATTTTGATTTCTCTGTATTATTAGGTCCATGTTGATAGTGTTAATTGAACGATTATTCATTTTATGGTTTTCTTCTGCTACTGTATTTTCACTTGTGGCATCATTCCTGATTCCTCCCTATTGCAGCATGTTCCAGCAAATGTCCTTAGAAACTCGTCCCTTACTTTTCCAGAAAAGATTACCCTTTTACCTTGCCAATGCTCCCAACGCCAGGTATAATTTTATAGGCTTAATGGTGATACACCTATAGTAAAAAACAATTTTATAAAGTTATCCAATCATAATCTTAATCATTGGTTACTGATTTATTGTACGTGTAAAACTTTTTATACTGAGATTGAATCACTATTAAATCCTAGCATCATAGTTGTTTACCATTTTGACTACTATATGTTAGGGATATTTTTCTGTATTGATTTGGCTGGCTGGAGTGTATGAAGTTAAAGTTGTGTACGTTTTTTGTTGCTACAGGATATTCAAAGAAATGAATTACGGAAGTATCATCTCAGCTTGTCACAACAAACACCCATATGCAGAAGATATTGGGAAGCAACAAAAGTGTCAAAGTGGAATGATGGTCGAGTATGTGTTAGAGGGTGGGGAAACTTTTGTAGGAGGCACAAGATCAAAGAAAAGGATGTATGCATCTGTGAAATTATATCAGGGGAAGACCAAGTAATAAGAACAATTCGGGTGCACGTGCTTGAACGGATGAACAGACTAAGGAATTGTACTAGCAGTAAAATTGGACATTAAACTTGCTTATTGTTAATACTTTGATGAACTAATGCTTAAAGTTTTTTCTTTTTTTTAGTTTATGCTATTTTAACATGGAATGATAATCATATTTATCTGTACAATCATTTAGGTTATTTACTTTATTTGACAGCTTAACCATTTCTCCTATTCTACTTTGGACAACTTCTATTTATTAGTTTGGAATTTGGAATTCTGTTTGTGGGCTTAAATTCCTCTTTTTTTATTTGCTACTAGTTGGAAAAATATAAATTTAATTTTTACACGCATTTAAGATTGGTGAACCAATTTGATTTTGAAATGACTTTCAAGTGTTTTAGGAAGTAGAACTTAAATTATTGTTTTAGAATAAACTAGTCTTTTTTTTCCCTTCAAAATCCATTTAATTCTATCCGTGTATACTCTAATTTGAAACTTTGGATTTCAATTCAAAACACTGTTTTTTGTCATCCAATTGCCTCTGAAGTTTTAACACTAAATTATCTAATGGCCGATAATTAGTTACAACTTACAACAACTCGATTAAAAATATTTGATGTTAGAAGTCCAATTTAAAAACTTGAAAACAAGACTACTTTGGTTATCATGCAACGAAACATGTGAAGTGATCATCATGCTCCAGCTTCTGTAGATTGTTTGTCTTAACTCTTCATCTGCCTTTGTAAGAAATTGATCCTAACCACACCCCAGGCTGGTATCCAAGTAATCAAATGGAACTACTGTATTAAGGCCAGGCTTAACAGCACAACGTTGTTCCACAATTCTAAACTCCACATCATTTCCTTCGCTATGAATATGGTCTAATTCTTCCCATGTAAACAACAATGACAATGTAAAGGCACCCCAAGGGTTGAAATCCACAACCTTAACTCTCTCATCCTTTGTAATGTAAACATCAAATGTGTAGTTTTCTGACTCAAATTTAGCCCTCACATAATTGTTGAAGAATGCCTGTATCAGTAAAAGAAGATCATTCTTCTTTTCAAGCAAAACAGGATAAAATGTAGTAACCTCCCGTTGAGAAATTCCAATTAATTTCTGATCCCGAACAAAACATTGATGAAGGGATGGTACCATTTACGGAGAGCAGGAAAGAAACTCTGGGGTCTAGTCAAAGAGTTATCCTGGCACGAATCGCAAGCATGGCACAAGTCATGAACCAATGAGTCAGATGATCAAAATAAAAGTGCAATCTCACTGAAACAATTAGCCCACGTCATAAATGGGCAGCTATATACATTAACAAGAAGCCTGTATATACACACAAAAATGCATGCCAAAAACCACTGTGACAGAGATTTTGCATATACATGGACCAAAAAAAATCATCAAATACAAAAGGTGATTCACAACACATGAAAGGATAACTAAACCAATCATCAGAGAATTTTCACAGTGCACTACATCCTGAAACTTGGCATCCATACAACCACCAAGCATAACTCAATAAAGAATTGACAAAAAGGTAGAATAAGACTAAGAACAACACATATCAAGGCAACATTAAAATAGAATTATGTTTTTATGACCAATATGCCAGGACATATAAATCCATACAAACATTAAGTGCGAAAATTCAGGACATTTAAAACAGAATTATGTAAACTCAAATAGAAAAACAAAACTTTAACTCCAAGTGCGGGAGTTAGTTGAGTAATATCACTGATAAGCAATGTGTGACCACAATTGGGTGCAAACAGGTTGTGAAAATAACCAGCAAAGGCAGTTACTAAATCAATGCAGACGTTTGGGTAATCGATTTTCAGAATTCTATTCTTTGGGTCAAGACCATATTTTGGTGTTCAGAATCAGATTAAATATGTGGGGAAGTCACGGTTTAAGGTGGTAATACTTGGTCAAAGCTGCTTGGAATTGTCACATGCTATCAACCCCACCTATTTCCTAAATTGAATTTCTAACGGGGAAATTTCAGCAGGGACCAATCCCAAAACCCCACTAGTATCTTCTGCTAGAAATTGGATTAAATTAAAAAGTTAACCATAAACAACCGGCCATATAAGCTAAGTTCCAACATTTAACTTTTAGTTAAAATAAGTCAGCAGCAGGTGTAAGAAACCAAACAATTTCTTCTCCTAGGTTGTGTTGTGTGTTACGAGCCCACACTAACTTTCACAACTAAGCGTATGCATATAATATAAAAGTATTATTATGTTTTTCACTTTTCCCACACCAAGTTACCAACAATTATGAATTCCGCATTTGATCTACTGAATTCGATTTACTTTAAACCTAAAAATGGCAAGTTGAAGATGAGGCAGGCAAGGTAACTGAACATTGAAAGTGTGAATGAATAAGGTCACTGTCTCACAGGAAAGAAGGGGGGATATATTTGGAACGGCATTGTTCTCCATTTAGAAGAAACGACAAGAAGGAGGTGTCAAAAGTAGAGAGGGACGGCGTTGTATTATGCTTTACGCAAACGTACAATATGATGAGCATAATAACTTTTCCCGTATAACGCCATACCCATACCTCATCATTCTTTCTCTTCCCAACTTGGCTCTTCAAAAAATTACCTTTCTTTTAGATGCTTCCTAACTTACCCAATGTTTTAAGTTTTTGGAAACTCTTTAACCAACCATCCATCTAACGCTACCAAATGGAGCTTAAGTTGAAAAAGCACTTCCAACAAAAAGTGACGTGAATCCAACCCTGTTGTATACACCCAAAAAAACTTACAAAAGTATTAAATAAAAAATAAATATTTAATATTTTGATAATAAAAAACTTAAACACAGTTTTGATCTCTCTATTTTTTATATTTGATTCCCCTATTTTTTATCTTATTCTCTCTCTCTCTCTCTAAGTGGTACCTAACGACCAAAAAAAAAATTACTATTATCAGTTATGTTATATTAAATTCAATTTTTTTTACGTTATTGTAATTTTTATAAATATAAATAAAATACATAAATAAAATCACCCCAAATTCTATTGTCCCATCTCTTTTCTTTGACAAATTAACTGTACCAAATAAGGTGTTAATTGAGTTATCTTAGTTTCTCACATAAAATTAGTCTCTTTCTTAGTCTCACATCTAAATAGTAATTCATAATACGAAAGTAATATTTGATGCATCAAAATATTTAAAATATAAACAAATAAAATTCATAGAAGAATTTATGTGAGGCTTTTTACCTTTCTTTTTGCACGCATTGTATTAGCCCATGATTGAAATAGAAAGAAAAAAAAAATTCTTTTGATATGTATTAATTTGTCAATAAGTAAGGGGATGCTTTCGCTAACATCATATTCTTCTTGTGCATTTTTAGGGATTGAAATTCATGACTCTTGCTAATTTGAGAATGATATCTACCAATGAGAAATGAAGCTTACATGATGAGACTCACGTGAATTGCACCCAATAGAAAATAATGTCTCCAAAAAATGCATCATCTGAAATTAATTTTAGACAAGACATAAGCTTTGGATGTGAAGTGAGTCATTTGGTAGCAGTTTGTAATTTTATTTTATGGTCCGGAAGTGATGGGCCCAGAGCGTAGAGAAGAAATAGCCGTTGGAAGTTTGGGGTGCGGACAGACAAGAAAAAGAGGATACAAGAATAGAACAAATAAATGTGCATAGTTGTAAGGAAAAACTAGCCGTTTGTCTTTGCAATAGGAAGGGTTGGGTATGTAGTTTGTACTGTACCACCACACCCACCCACCTGACACAAGATTCCTCAACCCGCGCGCCCCACTCACACAATCTTATGACCATCACGTGCTACCCTCTCTCTCTTCCCATTTCTACAAAATCCTCATCCAACTCATGTTCCTCCTGTTTTATTTTCTATGCTCTCTTCTCTTATACTTCAAACACACTCTGTGTCTTATGGACACTCCTAGAGAGAAGAAGAAGAAGAAGACTCACCAAGTAATCACTCAAACTTTCCTGCTTTAGTTCACTACTCCTACTGTTTTTGTTTAACTCTCATTTTGTTGTAATGACCTCGAAGTACCATTCTCAGGTTTTGCAACTTGGGGTGAGAAATGCAGCAGATTGGCACCATTTGTTTATCTGCTGCTGCTTGTGTTTGTGGTTTCTTCTGGTGCCAGTGCTGGGTGAAGAACGTTGGGATGGAGTGGTTGTGACACAATCAAACTTCCTGGCACTTCAAGCATTCAAGCAAGAGTTGGTGGATCCCAAAGGCTTCTTGAGAAGCTGGAATGACAGCGGCTATGGAGCATGTTCTGGAGGTTGGGTTGGTATCAAGTGTGCTCAGGGACAGGTTATTGTGATCCAGCTTCCGTGGAAGGGGTTGAAGGGGCATATCACTGAGAGGATTGGCCAACTTCGGGGGCTTAGAAAGCTTAGTCTTCACGATAACCAAATTGGTGGTTCAATCCCTTCAGCACTCGGACTTCTTCTCAATCTAAGAGGAGTTCAACTCTTCAACAATAGGTTCACAGGCTCCATCCCTCCTTCTTTAGGTTCCTGTCCTTTGCTTCAGTCATTAGACCTTAGTAACAATTTGCTCACTGAGAGAATCCCTATGAGCCTTGGGAATGCCACTAAGCTTTATTGGCTTAACTTGAGCTTTAATTCCTTTTCTGGCCCAATACCAACTAGCCTAACTAGCTTAACTTCTCTCACTTACCTGTCTCTTCAACACAATAATCTCTCTGGCTCTATTCCTAACTCATGGGGTGGTAGCTTGAAGAACCATTTCTTTCGGCTTCAAAATCTGGTCCTAGATCATAACTTCTTCACTGGAAGCATTCCTGCT